GTCCTTGCTCATGGCAGGGGGGTTGGAACCAGATGGTCTTTAAGGTGCCTTCCAACCCAAACCATTCCATGATTTAGTTAGGCAGCTGAACTGAGAATGTGCCAGTTCTGCCCTGACACAACTATGAGTGCAGTGGGAGCTGAGATGGATGGAGATCCTGTCTGTGAAGCCAGGAGATGCCACTTGCTCCGAGCCCGGAGAAGTAATTTCTGCCAAACACAAGCCGCGGTGGGCAGAGGCTGGAAAGGTGGCAGAGGCAGTCTGAACGATGGTGCAGGAGCTTCACCCAAACGTACTCTTTATCTTCATTCTCTGTCTGAAAGTCTTTGGTTTTGAAACTGTTTTTAAAAAAATGTAATTCATTCTGTAGCGTGCTGCGAATTTTGAATGGCTGTGCAGGTCATAAATGTTCTGGACTTACTGCCTGCTGTGGTTTGATATTCCATACTGAAAACAGCGATGGCGTAAGGAGGTGCCATTTTTCACCATACTGAGGAGCGTTTTCATGCGTTTCTGGTGTTTCATAATTTTTTTTTTTTTTTTTCATCCTTTACTATTTCAGGAAGGCCAAAAGGAAGAGATTTGTGCCCAGCATCTGGCCTGCAGGACAAGTTGGGAAATTCCGCGATGGGACCTTGATTCTGAAAAGCCGTGACATAAAGAAAATTAAATCGTCGAAAGTTATCAAATGAACTTCTGGTACAGAGTGCGATGGACAGTGCGCCTGAGGTGCAGTCACACTGCTGCCAGCGCAGGCCTACGGACCCTCTCGCCCTCCCACCATGTCCTCATTTTTTTTTACCTTATTTGTTGCTGCAGGATTCACTGTCTTCCGTTCCGCCTCGGGAAGAATATGAGAATTTACCATTTTATAAATAAAAATAAGATTTGTTATTCAGAAGGCTACACAGGCTATTTTTATCTGTCAATATGTGTGAAAGGAAGCATTTCACTTTCTAGGATCTTGGCTGTAAGCAAAATATTAATTTAACCAATTAATGGATTAAAATACCTTAGCTCTCTGCTTTCATCTGGAAGGAACATGGAAAAAGCAATACTGCACTTGCTGTGAGCCTGAAGCAGGCTCTCAGACACTGACCGGGCACCCGGCTCTTTCTGCCTCTGTACGAGCTGTCGGTGGATGGTGGAACTGCACAACGAGGAGTCTTCCTGTCTGGCCAAACCTCGTAAGGTCGCAGAGTTACCCGCTTTGGAATGAAAATGAGATTTTTCTGAGGTTTTGTCCCAGGTAAGGTGTAACTTGTGTATCTCTGCAGAGGTCTCCATGTAGACACCGCTTCAAATGGTGGTTTGGTTTTGTTTTTTTTTTTTTTTAAATCACAACAAAACTAAAAACATGAAAGACTCGAGGCCCGAGCCGAAGGAGGCAGAAGACACCCAGCAGCTCCCGGTTGTTCATGGTTCACTGGTGTTTGTTTTGGTCAGCGTTCCCACGCCTCCCAAGGCTTTTCTGGGAAACCTTTGTCAAAACCGAAGCTTTAGTGCTGTTTGGATTTCAGCAGTTTGGTGGTTCTGAAAGAGCAGTTCATTTTTTATGAAGTTTGTGTTCCCAGTCGAAATGGCAGTTGTTAGCAGCTTCCCTGTTCTACCTCCAGCTAAAGGAACTTGAATATTTTAGGGGAAGGTCAGGGGAGGTTTAGCTTGGATGTTTGGAAAAATTTCTTTACTGAAAGCCCAGTTCTGGGCTCCCCAGTTCAAGAAAGATGAGGAGCTACTGGAGAGAGTCCAGCGCAGGGCTACGAGGATGATGAGGGGACTGGAGCATCTCTCCT